TAAAGTAAGTTTTAGGGTGCCTAATACTTTTGGCCAAGGCTGTATATACAAAACACATTAGTATGAATTCAATATTGATGGGACCGTATCCATATATTAGTAATAAAAATAATAATCATAATTAACTAACCTGGTGTTTTTAGCTCCACTACTAGCAGATCTCTGTAACTTGTTGACTATTTTGGGCTTAGGCCTATTTTCTTTATTTGCATTGAGAGTTGCGCGTTGCTCATCCATGCGCTCCGACTGACATCTGCTTAGCAAGTCAAAGAAGGATTCAGGGTTCTCTTCAGATTCTGATTTAGTGAACTCTGGTTTCTTCGGCTCTGCTTCTTCAGCTTCTTTCTTTTTGGCATCTGGCGTAATCTAGAAAAAAATATATACTTAACCCTTTGCTGTCTAGTCCTTAGTAAACGTCGTCCAGAACAGAAAATCTCGTTGTCTGACTCTGCATTAGAACAGGATAGGTTTTGAGTTTCGGTCCCTGTGGTCATGCTGATACAAACACTTCAATTTTTCATGTACTGGTAGCCAACTTGGCACCACTGAATAGACGGCAGTACAGCGTAAATCTCAATCGAATGAAATCTTGAATCTCTCGATCGGTGGTTTTCTCGTTGTGCACAAACGTTACACAAAATACAAAATACTTAGGTAGTTTGTGTAACGTTTGTGGATAAACCCGCCAGACCATATATGTGTGGTCTGAAGAACTGAAAACTTTTCGGAAATCGATTAATTCGAAAAGCTGAAAGTCGACAAAGCTGCGTGTGAGACGATTTGTAATTACTTGCGATAACGGCTTGCAAACATGGACCAGTCTATAATTTTTTTAGTACAAAATTCTTGCACTTTTTTAAGAACAACCACTATATTTTTGCTGTTTGCAATGGTGTATCTTATGTAAAATGGAATTGAATAACTTCTGAAAAAGCATCAATTGAAATCGGTGAAATCCGTATTAGTAGGGTCAGACATTTTAGTTGTTTATGCGAAGTCTTGAAGAACTTAGACCCAACCGTACGTAAAGTCTCCATGAGCCCATCGTTATAATCGTCCAAATAGCTCCCTAGGCAATCGAACTGATTTTGGAGTTTGAATTGAGTAGTTGTCGGGGTTTCGGACCAGTGCCAGGACAGAGCGAAGAGCTCATCAGTCGAGAACTTTCAAGCTTAACATTCAAATGCAGTGTACCTCTTATCATACGGTGATTTTGACCGCGTTGTGATCAGCCCCAGCAAGTAGGCAGCCCCAATAATTCCGTCTCTTTTTTCCCAGTTTCGTGTCAAGTCCCCTATGATAACGGGCGAAATAGGTTTTGGAGCTAACAATAAAATTTTGAGTCGAGCTCGACAATGTATCCGTGTAAATGTAAATTGTACAAACCTGTATTAAAGACAGTTGTTCCATGCTCTGCCGCCTCACTCGCAGTGCATTGAAAGGCGTGGCGGGAATTTTATCGATATCAGTGTCTACAACGGGTGCCGGTGGACTATCAGCCTCTACAGGCCAGCCGAGCACTTTACGAAGGTCACTAATGTTCATCTGGGCAGTCGCCATGCCGAGGACATCGCCCAACTGTAATAAGCATGCGTTAACCACGCGTTAATTAAAAATATCTTCCATTCAAACGACGATGAAAACAGATTTGTAGTTAACAAAAGAGAACGATATTTATACGAGTATATAGTTATACTATAAAATCCACAAAATGTGTTTTTGCACTACATCATATACAAACACTTTTAGACATTTTATTTGCCACTATTAGCCTTCAGGAAACAAGGCGACAAAAGAATCTCACCTCTTTAGAAATATTGTAATGTTCACTGGCAAAATATAGTGCTTTCTCATGATTGCCAAGAGCGGCGTGGGCGTTGCCCAAGGACCAGCAGGCTCTGCCTTCCCCAACACGATCCTGCAGTTTTCTTGCCGCTGCCAGGTGCCTTGCGTGGTACTCCTCAGCGATGCGATATTCCCGTAATAATGTGTAAGTATTCCCGAGAGAGTAGCAAGCTTGAGCTTCCACTGCAGCGTCACCCAACTCTTCAGCTAATGCCAATGTGCGTCTATACATCAAGAAGAATAGCAGTCATGTACGTACATTCTTTATGTGAACCGGCAAACTGATGTGAAATAATTTCATAGAAACTGAAGATGAGAATTAGCATTTAAATGTATTTAAATTAATTGCGACCACGTGGAAAGGTACTTTGGAGTCAAAAGGATGTAGCGCTCGTTTTCTGATAAAAATTCGCAAATGATTTAGCGTTCATCGTCGCTTTTAGGTGGCCATTTATCTTCTGTTAATACGTGTTATGATTATGAGTCAATCACAATGTTTAAAGATACATTTAATAAAAAAATAGGCTGTCTGTAGACGTAAAAGTGATGCATGGAGCCCACAAAAGGGTCAATCAACCATTTTATCATGCTTTGCGGAGATTGTTTCAGTGCCAACATAATGTCCGATTATTGCAATCATTAATAAGTTTTTATCAAGAAAAACTGATCAATTTAACATAGAAATGTGGTAATTGCTGTAATTTGATATCTTTTTGACATCATTTTATATTCAGGATTTTGTGGGACAGACAAATAACACTATATAGAGCATTTTACAGATACAAAATAATAATTTTTGTGAAATACATTTTACATCGCAATTGGATGAAAATAATGTCATAAAGACAACCACACCAATTACCTGGTCTCAAACTAGGAAATTCTCTGTACTTTGAATACCAGAGCAACGACGTTCACTCCCGGGAATCCAGAACATCCAAACCAGAGGGTCTAGTACGACAGAGCGCGCGAAAGCGACAAAGCGCGAGATCTCTATGCGAGAATTGCAGTATCTCGCGCTTATGTCGCTCTCGCGCAAGTCGTGCTAGCTCTACAGAACCAATTTATAAAAGCTAATTTCCCAAATTGGTACTACGGGGATCGAACCCGGGATCACCTCGTTCCAAAGGGCCACCGAGGACGTCAATATATTATTTAGGTATATAATTAGAATACTTGTGTATTAGAATACTTATGTACGGTTTTTGTAATTCTCGTTGGTTTTATTACATTCACAATTTTGGCTAAGAACCATTCAATTCAACCAATTCAGATATCTTAACATGTGTTTACCATTTCAAAGATAGTACTCATACATACATATTTGTTTAGATATGAAAACAGATTCTATTTTCTAACATTACTGTAATACTATAATCGACATTGGGTGAATGTCGAAGAGATTTTGATAGTTCGCAATGATTCGTCTAAATTAGAAATTTAAACACACGGCCAATGCGTCGCCCTTTTTATCTGAAAATCCGATGATGCACAGCTTCACACACAATGCATAATATTTCTGTCTAAACACACGGCAGCAGCATTCACATTCGCATAAGCATATGTATTACATTTATTAGAACCGAATTAGAAGGGGCTACGCAGATGAGGAAAAAATTGATAAAATGGACTCCTTATGATTTAGTATCCCCTAATATTAAATAATGCACTTGATAGTTTCATTTTAATATGGGTGTTTGCTTAATTGATATATGTGTACACATACGTTGCTATATGTGGACGTATTCGCTACTAAAAAGCAAGTAAGAAACAGAAGCAATGGCAATTTCTTAAAATGCATATACCGAAAACTTAAGAGTTAATTTATTCACACTGGAAGCGCAGAGGTGCCGAAGCGGACTTCGGCAAACTTTTAACTGTTACACGAATGAGCACTTTATTTGCACATCATCACATGTGTCTAAAGGGTATTATAAAAAGGCGATATTTCGGCAGATGACAAAAAATTTTAAGATTCACTGTAATCGCTATATTGTTTCAATCTAGTAAAACAAAATACACAATATTACCTACTTAATCGCTTTCTACGAAATAGATGTATGGGAATTGGTACAAAGTACTCACTTATAATGTTCAGCGGCATTCTCAAACTGTCCAAGGAAAATGTGTGAGTTCCCGAGGTTGCTGTTAGCGCGTCTTTCAGCTGATTTGTCGCCAAACTCCTGCGCTATTTGCAGTCGTTCGGTGTGATAGCGGATAGCTCGAGCAAAATCCCCCAAAAGATAACAAGTATTTCCCAGGTTGCCGCATGCTCGACCCATTGCTTGGCGATCCCCAAGGCTTCGCATTAGCTCGAGATTCTCTCTGAAACGTTGGCAGGTTTCATTAAGTTAATGATCTATGTAAGATAGCAAGTAAATAATCCGACGCGGTGAAATAATTTATTTTCATAGTTGTCAATTTAGAATATAGTCTTTAATCTTCTGAATGAAAGTACTTACTCATAATAAGCAACTGCTTGCATCAAGCACTCTCTGACTTCTTGTGGGAAGTGTCCAGGATCGTTCTGGCCAACTCTCCCCAGCTGTTTGCCCTGAGCATGATACACGTTGCCCAGGTTGTACAAAGCACGCCCTTCACTTAATTTGTCGCCAAGTTGGCGAGATATCTCCAAGTGCCTCTTACAACACTGTATTGCTTCAGCAAATTTCCCCATCACTTTTAAAGTGTTACCAAGGTTACCCGAGGCTTTGGCTTCGCCAAGTTTGTCGTTCATTGTTCTAAAACCAACAAAATAGCCATGAAATAAGAGGTCAGATATAAATATTCCCCATACTTTAGGAATTTCTTTTTAGCATTTAAATCCAATAAATAAGAGTGTTCAAACGGCATAAAATGAAATGAATTCTAACGAATTTTTACGCTAAGTTTACCTAGCTAAAGTTAAGTCGTGCTTGTGGTACTGCATAGCTTTGTTGTAGTCTCCTAGATAAAAGTAGGCATTTCCGAGTTGACTGTAGATGGCGGAGAGCGTACGCAGGTCATCCGTGCCAGCTTGTATGGCTGCTTGAAAAAACGCGACCCCAGCTCGACAGTCGCCTGCCTTACAAAGCCGCTCGCCCTCTAGTGCCAACTCAAGGCACATGGAGCCTCCATCACAACTCTGCTAAAACAATAACAAATCTATTAATTTAAAAAATTAAGTGGAGAAGAATTCGTATTTAAGAAAGAGTTCATAGTTCCATTTACAGAAATATAGGTATAAATAGGCAATATTTAGAACAAAAATATAAATAGCTGATACCTTTTTTGTTTTTGCTATAATTTTATGGCTCAATACAACAACTATCTATATTATGTATAAACATATATTTGTACAGAAAAAACATAATAGCCTGTAAGTCACGGCTTTCTCTCTCAGAAACTACTATGGCTAAATATGTAAGAAATTTGTCATAGCTATACAATTTAGTTGCCTGGTTTTGTTTTAGGAACCAAATGTAAGAAGTCATATACGGCGCTGTACTCTCGATCCATAAGTTCTATTCTCAGACAGTCAATTTTTTTTTTATTGATAACGTAATAATTGTTATACACACAATGACTAGGTAACAACAGTCACATAGATTTTTCATAATCACACTGAATCCTGTAGCTGCAAATCCAATTCCAGAAAGTCAATCTGCCCATTGTTTCATTGTCTTCCATTTCAATATTTTGAATCACGTCTGTATGACAAAATCTTACCGAAATTTATTGTTTACTAGTCGGTAACGTCTTGATAAACGACCAGACATCCTCTACTTTGTAATTTATTGGCTGATACAGGATTGTAAAATTATTTTTTTGTCTCTTCATACACAATCAGCATGTTTCTTTCCATACGTACTTTGTCGATTATTTACTTGTAAAAGTGTTAAATCATGTCCATACTTAAATCTGTGGCCAGTATCAAAGACACCTATGTAACGCATATTGTGATTCTTCTTGGCAATTAATTTCTTCTTTCTAAGGGTCGCCTCAAATTGCCGCCATCAGGCGGCGCGTAGCTGCTATGAATTAACATGAGCAATGCAACATAAACTTCTATGCTATATGATAAGGTTATATTTATTTGTTGTTGTGTTTGGCGGTTTTGTTGGTGTTAGTATTATTGAGAAGCTAAGTGGACTTTGAATAGCTTGTGGCGGCACAAGCTGCCGACGACAGGAACTACCGCGCGACGCAGCGCAGCTTTCAGAAATGTATACTTTATTTAGCAGGGTATATGGCCTACGTATATTCGTAAAGGTCAACCCGCGTAGCTCGATGCTGCGCTACATCTTCTTTTTAAGTATTTGTTTAAATAAAGTAACCTTATCTCGTAGACGATAAAGTTTAAGTTGCATTGTTAGTTTTAATGCATCGCAGCGTCGCGTCGCCTAGCTGCGACATTTTCAAGCTACTCTAAAACACTGATTCACTGGCGTGTCGTCACGATCCCTTCCTTTTCACATGAGGTTCTAAATTGAAGTAGCAATAGTAAATTGAAAGTAACAGAATGTATTATTTAATCCCATAATTACTGCAATATGTAAAACCCATTGTGAGCTATTATTGAAATTTACCCCTACATCTTATAAGGTAAACGCTGTTTCAATACAGACAGGTTTTTCTTCGTTGTGTAATGGAAATGATCAATTTCATTATTCATTAGAATTTTCTGCATTTCTTTCCATTTTCCTTTTTTTATATCTTATTTTGTTTAGCATAATTGACTTTTCCAAAGTTACTAATTTGCATTTAACTTTGGAGATATTGGCATCCAAAGATTTTTTGCTCTGTCCTCCTTGTTTACGACAAGGAGGGCAGAACACTTGTACTGCAATCATTATTCTGCTTTTACTTATTCTGTAGTTGTCTTTACAACACAACTAATAAACACTGCTAGTATTCAACCCATTCTTAATTTATTACATTTGTTAAGATGATTTCTGTTTTGACTAATCTCATTTTACACACAACTAGTATAAAAAATATTGCTTTTCGTGCACAATAAGGTGCATGTAATATATATACATACATACAAGGCCTTTTCCCCTTCGGCATAGGCAGAGACAACAGTCTTCCACTTATCGAGTTCTTAGGTTTTCGCGATTGTTACACGTAGGAAATGAAACTATTTTTCCGGATTTAAATCGCGTATATTTCTTTTTCAAACAAACCGACGTTTCGGGCCCTTTACAGGTCCCATGGTCACAGTTGTGTTCAACCAGTTATGTCTAATATTAATGCAAACCAACCTATTTTTTCACTTTAGTAACAATAGTTATTAATTAAATACCTTATTTTAATTTTACAAAGAAAACATTCCAATTTAAGCTACATTAAGTTTAACAAATTATTTTATCGAATTAATTTTTTTTAAGTTCAATTTATTATTAATTAATAATAGAAATTAGAATAAACTAAAACATATTAATTAGTACTGCAGTCTTATATCTTCCAATTGCTAAAGTCCTGACACAAATCTTTCTCCTCATTAACATGCATCAGTGCTTTCAGACACACCCGTCGATTAAGGGAACTTTTGACCTGGTCCATCTTTAGGATGGCCTCAACTTGATCATGGTAAGTTCGCCTTGGTCAGCCCTTACCAACTTGCCCTCTGACATTCGCCTTATAAATCTGTTTCGTCAATATTCTTCCATTCATTCTCTCTACATGTCCGAACCAACTAAGCATGTAATACAACAATAGAAAACTGACTAACATTTGCAGCAGTACTACTGTGTCGCAATTTCAAGGGTATGAAGTGCTGGGGCAAGGAAGGAAGGCAGCTTTAGATCTTTCATCCAATGTCTGGCAATGCATTTGCAATATTAAAGGTACTTCCTTAGTCTTCCAAAATATTTAACCTAGCTTTTAAATCAATTCACCATTAGGTGAGCTATCTTCACAATTTATTTGCACTGTAGGAAAAAACATAGGGGAGGTTCATGACCAATTTGTTAAAACATTTTGCCTTGTGGTTAGTGATATGCATATTTATAACAGTTGCTGTGCCACTCAGAGATTTAACTTGCTATGTGTTCCAGAGACACACCTTGTCACTAACTATTTTGGTAATGTAGCATCCTAGAGTTTCACGGTGTCTCTAATGAGTAGCTGCATTTTCATCCAGCATATTTAGCTTTATAAAAAACTAAACATAAATCTATAAAACATATTAATTGTTTTTACCAAACCCGTTAGGGACACTATTGTGTGTCTATGATGAGTTAAATCGCAAAAATCTTAGGGGCACTGCCACTGTGCCCATCACCCTGAGAGATAAAGTGACCTAGTCATGTAGTACCCGTCAGCACCTCTTACCCTTCAAAACTGGAATGCAGTAACACTCACATTACTGCTTGCTGGCAGAAACAGATATGGTGGCAGTACTTCCCTGGACGAACTCTTTCACAGATTTATGGCTATAAAAAAATTTCTACCACCCACTAACTAAAATGTGGCTAAATGACAAATACTCAAATATCTGTTGTAAATAGGAAAAGACAGACTACAAAATTCTCTTTTCAAAACAGTTAAAATTAATTAATGTGGTTGACTTATCAGAACTTACTCTAATGATGCATAACTGAAATATCATTAAACAATTTCAATATTCTAAACCTAGGTTATGGTTTTTTATGATATCTCAAAATAACTTTTTGCCACTTAGCTGCATTTTAGTTAACGCATAGCAGAGTTGCCCACTTGCAACTCTATGAAAATCAATTAGTGCGTATAGACTTGCCTCATTGTGTTTATAATCCAAGCACTTTACTTACATTTGCTAATTATAAAATCTAGCTTAATTCACAGTGATCTTAGTATTAATTCTAATTTCTCTTAATATATTGAGACTAATACTAACAACAATTGTTGTCATTTATTTTCAGCAACATAGATAACATTCGACCTATTTATTTATAGTTTAATGCACAACTTGATGTACAAAACTAAAACTAATCGAATCGTACTTTCATATTGCTAAAAGGTATTAGTCGCAGCCTATACGCAATCGACCGATTAGTGCGGTCATAACAGTTTTAGGTCACCATTTCCGTGTTAGGTCCCCCACGTAATGCAATGACTCATAATCAACGCCCTCAGTATATTTGAATGCAATCAATTACCTCCTAACTAAAAGCAGTATTGAACTGTAACATCGTGTATGTAAGTCCGAGTATTCGCGAATAGCATAGATAAAAAAAGCTGTTGCTATTAAATTTACGCACTCCACTTACCTGTGCATCAGTCGAAAGATTTTCTGCACTTGCGCTAACCGACATTCTAACTTCTAAATCTTGTCGAAAACTCAAAAACCAACACAAAAAGTAACAAATGAATTAGTTTGTTCTCATAGTTATTATTTTTATTAGGTATGTGCAATGGGAGCGTTTATAACTTGATCACACACTCGTCGGTTAAGTTTTTCGTTTCTTTATTACATTAGTGACGTGCACATAAATGCAACGCATTGTGTAATTCATGTTACGTTACAATATGTGACTCACTGATTAGTTCACTTTTATGAAACAAAAGAAAAACAAGAGTAGTAACTTTATTTCTCAATAATATTAATAATTTGGTAATTAGATAGTTTGTGTTGAAGTAAATCAAGGTGATAACTAGTTTGTTTCAAATGAAAGTAATTTATATGAAAACCAATACATACACATTTCTTGTTATTTGATTTAAGTGTAACTATAAAAAAAAGCATAAGTCATATTTTAAAGTGAAACAATCAAACGGTCAATTCATTCATACAAACGAAACAATCAGTGCAACGCCATAGGGAACATCCTTATTTCACTTTGACAGATCGACGGCAACTGCTGACAGTGTTACCATATTTTTCTCTTATATACTACCATTTCGAAGAAAATTAAAAAGTAGTGCACTTCTCTAAGTCGTTTCTTGTTGATTTCATCTATACCATTGAGTTATTTAATAAAAATGCCGATAATTTTTGATTATTATTGATAAATGACGTCGTTTACTTCTTGTCATAATTCCCTAAAACTACTAATTAAATTTTTATTGGAATTGACAACATTAATGACTTTAGGCGGAAAATTTAAAATATTTTGTGCGTTATAATTTGACATTGGTGTGGGTGAAACCGTAAAATTTACGGAAAATCAGTCGTACAGAGCAGAGAAAGGTAAAAAGTCGTCGTTGAAACAAAGCGCAGGAATTTCCGACTATGGTGGTTGGGTATTTGTTTTAGTTTCTATAGAGTTATGAACTAGAGTTATTAACACAAATGGTTTGAGTCTTATTTAAAAAATAGGGAACAATTTGTGGAGCTTGAATACTTCCACCATAATACAAAGGAAATAAAAATAATTCGGTCTGATGGCAAAACAACAAATGCATCAATTCCACGGGGCAGTGTTGTGGGATGTTTGTTGTTTTTGATTTACATTAACGATCTGCCAAAAATCTTAAAAGAGCGTTCTATATTATTTGCCGATGATATTTCTATACTCACGTCATGCGAAAATAATAGCAATTTAAATAGAACACTTAACCTGACAATGGAAAAAACCGTCAACTGGATGAATGATCACAATCTGGAAATAAATTACTTAAAAACGAAAATAATGACCTTCCAACCGTGCCAAAAAAACCACTCGCAGTAAATTTCCAATATAGTGGCTTTAAATTTGAAGTCGCTTCGGAGTTCACTGTATTGGGTATAGCAATAGATACCAATATAATACTGGAAAGCACATATACTAAAACTAAAAACTAAATTTTCTAAATTCATTTATGCTTTTCTTGAAATAAAAAAGACTACTGACTTACAAACAGCTTTAGTAACATACTATGCTTACGCGTATGCCTGGCTTAGTTACGGTGTTATAATGTGGGGCAACAGTACCGACCGACGGTCCCGGTCTGTTTATCCTACAGAAAAAATTGATAAGGATTTTAAGTAACATTAAAAGCACAGATTCTTGCAAACCCTATTTCAAAAAATTTCGAATACTCACCTTACCCTGTATCTACATCCTAGAAATTTGTAAGTTTGTGAAGAAACACCCTGATATTTTTATCAAAAGGATCGACAATTATCCAAGATCTGTTCGTCGAAACAAAAATGCACTAGTATTACCTACATCCCGACTCAAACTTCATTCATCAAGCCCACAAGTTATGGCAGTGAAAATATTTAATAAATTACCAGAACAATTAAGAGATACGGTAGAAACTATAGATTTTAATCTTAAACTTAAGGAATTACTTACTACAAAAGCGTACTACACAATATCTGACTATTTAAGCGACAAACTTTAAAATTGACTATTATTACTTTTAATTCCACAAAACCATCATAAATACTCGGTCGCTATTGTTATCATGTCTATGAATAACTAAATACATTTGTAATTAAATAAAATATAATAAACATTGTACTTTATGACTAACATAATTATGTAATATATAGAATTATTTTACACTATAGTCAGGGCTGGGCAAAATACATGCTACATCTTAATTGAAATACAAATTACAAAATACTTCCTTAAATGTATTTAAAATACAAAATACCAAATACTTTCTTGAGGTGTATTTGAAATACAAAATAGAAAATACTTTCATGGGGTGTATTTAAAATACAAAATACAAATACAAATTACAAAATACTTTATTAGTATACTTATCGCGACATGTGGAAACCAACAATTTCCTTCAAAGGATTTCCTTCCACAATACATATCTTGAAAAAGAAGTTTTAAATATTCAGTTTTAGCAGAAAAAAACTGTTAAACCAATACAACCATACTTCATTCAGAGCACGAAGTACGTATAATTATTATTAATATTCCTATACATGTCGAATACTGTATATACGTGTAAATGCCATTCATAACATGTTCACAACACAAATTAGTCGCTCACGCGATACGTTATCCCTATCTACTCGGCCTATAAAGGATGCAAATGTGCAATTTAAACCAACCGCAAAATGGCGGCTATAACCCTAGAACCCTGCTACTCTAAGTTATAACCGCGAAAAGATGACTTTGACGTCTTTGACAATACCAGCACTGTTGCCACCTGCAAATGTGCTTCTACTGCATTGAATACGAGTATTTAAGATGTCGTGAGTGTTGTGTGTCGGTGTAGTGAGAACCCTAGTGCACAAATAAGTAATGAAGATAAAGTGCGGGTAGTTAGAAAAACTCGCACAACTAGAAGATGCTGACACCCGCCTCTTCAGTCCTTGCGAGACCATGGACGTTGCAATATGTCCGAAAAGTCGAGGTAAATAAAATATGTTTATACGTGAATAAGTCCCGAATTAAAAATCAAATAATTTCATACTTCATTTTTTGAACGTTCCGCTTTACACAAACGGACGCACGCACGCACGCACGCAGGCACGCACGCACGCAGGCAAGCACGCACGCACGCACGCACGCACACACACGCACTCACACACACACATATACACATACATACATATAATAGATGCTCTTTGCAAAAAAGTGATTGATCACTTGCATTTACTTCGTCATTTACAACGACTTCAATCTAATTACATATATTTTTTGTATGTAGTTCTTCACATATAATACCACCACGAAGGTTGGGGGCTCAGATAGGGGCTCGATTAGGGGGTCCGGTTGGAGGTCGGTTAGGTGTCGGTAGGGGGTCGGTTAAGGTGTCGGTTTGGGGGTCGGTTAGGTGTCGGTAGGGGGTCGGTTAGGGTCCGGTTGGGGGGTCGGTTGGGGACCGGTTAAGTGGTCGGTTGGGGATAGGTAGGGGGTCGGTTAAGGGGTCAGTTAGGGGGTCCACCCCTAAAGGGCCCCTAACCCGCCCCTGACCCACTCCCTAACCAAACCCTTAACCGACCCACTAACCGATCCCCTAACCAGCCCACTAACTGACCCCAACCGGCATCCTTAACGGCCCCCTAACCATACCCTAACCGACCCCCTAACCGCACCCTAACCTACCCCCTATCTGACCTCCCAACCGACACCCTAAACGATCCCCCAACCGGCCCCCTAGCCTACCCCCTAAACGACCCCCGAACCACCCCCAGCCGACCCCTAACCGACTCCCTAACCGACCCCTTAACTAACCTCCTAACCGACCCCCAACTGACTCCTAACCGACCCTCAACCGGCCCCCTAACCGACCCCCTAACACACCCCAAACCCATCCCCTAACCCATATTCGTGATGACACTTTTACTTGATAGTTTCGGTTTTAATTGTTAGTTTCAATTGTTTCTTAGAACAACTAATAAAATTAATCTAATTGCAATTAAAATCAATTCAATCGAAATCAGTTGCAATTGAATAGATTTTTTAATCTGATTGAAATTTAATTGATTGACGTACTTGTTTCGGCAGTACATATACTAAAATTGGAACGATACAGAATTATACGTAATCTAAAAAATGAATACAGCTATGGAATAGACGAGATACCATCCGCGCTTATAAGGGTATGTGCAGACGAATTGACGTTTCCGTTTTATACGCTTGTCAATCAGTCTTTTGCCGAGGGTGTGTTCCCGGATCTTCTTAAACAATCCCTGATAAAACCGATCCTCAAAAAAGGAAGTAAGTATGATCTGAGTAATTACAGACCGATTGCATTATTGCCCGCGGCTTCGAAAGTATTTGAGAAGGCAATGTGTAGCCGCCTATACTCTTTCTGTGAAAAGTACAATATATTTGATGAGTCGCAGAATGGTTTTCGGAAAAATCGTTCAACTACACTTGCGACTTACAAATTTATGCAAAAGATTCTGGATACACTAAATGAAAAAAGTATGGTATCGGTATCCTATTGGACATGTCAAAGGCATACGATAAAGTTCGGTATGATATCTTACTGGATAAACTTTACGGAATGGGTATACGAGGTGACATTCATAAATGGTTCGCATCCTATTTAGAAAACAGAATCCAGTATGTAGAAATCGAGTATTATAACTATGAGACAGGGGAAATAACTCAAGTCAGATCTGAGCCCCAAAACATGAACAATTCGATACCACAAGGAAGCGTCATTGGGTGCATACTATTCCTGGCTTATATAAATGACCTCCCAAAAGTAATAAACGATTCATGTGTTCTTTTCGCTGACGACATCTCAATATTAACCTCTTGTAAAAATAGTGACCACTTAAATCAAACCCTTCATAATACACTAACTACAATTGTAACATGGATGAATGATCACAATTTAGAAATTAACTTCACAAAAACCAAAATTATAGAATTTAGACCCTATCAAAAACCATCACTAAATATTAATTTTTCGTATAACCAAATACAAATAGAAACCGTCAATACATTTAATTTACTCGGAATAGATATCGATACAAATATAAATTGGAAGCAGCATGTACAAAAAATCACAAAA